TGATGTCCACAATATCACCCCTTTTTGTAGATTTGCATGTATGTGGCCAAAGGAATAACCCCATGTTTTCTAAAAAGCCTGGAAAATGTATACCAGGTTCCCTTCTTCTTGCCCTTTGCGTTAGTCATTTTGGCAAATTCCTGGAAGATGATGGTTCCGGCCTAAAAGCTGAGTTTTTTTCAAAGCATGTGTGCTATTTTTAAGAATCTGGGAAGGAAATGCCATTTTCATTTTTTTAAAAGGCCAAGATAGAAAAATTACTGCATTGAAGGGGCCAGAGACGTAGCTCAGTGGCAAGGTGCCTACTACGCAATACACGGTTGTAAGTTTGATTCCTGGCTCCAAATAAACCCAACAAAAGCAACAACAAAAACCTGTATTTAAAATATAGGATTCTAAAATTTCTATATTTTTAAGCTTATCAGAATATAGGAGTGGGGATTTAGCTCAATAGTGCTGTACTGACAAGTGTGAAGTCCTGAATTCGAGTCCCAGTACTCACCCCCCAAAAAAAGAATTTAGGACTGAAGGAGGATATGGTAACACAGGTCTGTAATCCCAGCACTTGGGAGGCTGAGGCAGGAGGAGTACTACAAATCTGAGGTCAGCCTGGGCTACACAATGAATTTAAGCATAACTAAAACTTAAATATAGTGAGGCCCTGTCTAAAGAAACCCAAGGGGCTGGGGAGATGGCTCAGTGGAATAAGCGCTTCCCTGGCAAACATAAGGGCCTGAGTTCAATCCCTGGTTCCGCCAAAAAATAAATAAATAAATAAAAAAAAAACCACACCCCAAAACAGGACTGAGACACTGAGTTTGTTACTACACGTGTGTGATTCATTGAGGTGGGGGTGGTCTCTGTGAGGGTTCCATTCACCTACCTTGCGTAGTATTCCACTAAGACTGATGACCAAATCTTTAGTGCTCGTCAGTAAGGGAACCATGTCGCTGACTTTGGCCAAGAGTTTGGAGTGCTGCTGCTTTGCAGACGCCGGGTCTGCATCCCCGGGGCTCGGGCTGGTGTCAGTGCTGTGGAGCAGCGTTTCGATGAACAGCTGAAGCGTCGCATCGCAGTCCAGCTGGAAGGTACTAGAAGAAGCAGTCAGTCACACGTGGGTCTCCAGAAACGCATGCAGCTGCATGGAGACTTCCGACAGACAACGCAGTATTCGCTCCCCTCAAGAACTTAACCTTCCTACTGTCCCGCTTTGTAATGAGATAAAGCACAGCACCAAAGCTAAGTAGGTGTCTGACTTAAGAAAGTCAGGTATTATTATTAGTGGGTATGTAAACTGGTCCAATATGAGGGAAACGTGGAATCAAACTAAAAACATGCCCTTTAATATAGTAATCCCACTTTTACAAATCTTACAGTCAAAAACACACGAAGAAGGGTGCTCACTGCACCGAATGTTTGTGATGCTTAAGATCCAGGAGTAACTCAGTTACTTCCAGCTCATTACTCAGGGGCTGGCTAGATACTGTACCCACGTGAAGGGTCGATCAGAGCGCAGCAGATAACAGAAGGATCTGTACGCAATGCCCTTGGAAGACACGGTTAACTGAGTGACAGGAAAAACTGTTGTGCAAAAAAAGGATACAAAACCTAACATTGTTTTTAATTTTTTTAAAAAATTATTTATTTGACACAGGGTCTCGCTATGCAGTTCAGACTTGTGGTGATCCTCCTGTCTCAGCCTTCTCAGCGCTGGGATTACAGGCGTGAGCTTCCAGGCCTAGTTTCGGGCCAGCATGGCCTGCAGTACTGGGGACTGAACTCGGATCCCTGTGCTTGCCACGCAGGCACTTAAGACTGCGGAGCTATCTCCTAACCCTATAGATCTGTTTTTGATAAATATTATAGTGCATATGTTAGTACATGTGCATAATTGAAAAAAAAAAAAAAAAAGCCAAGTGTGATGGTGATGCCCACGGTCCCACACTCTGGAGGCTGCGGGAGGGGATCACTAGCTCCAGACCAGCCTGGGCAACTTAATGAGACCCTTGTAGCTGGGTGTGGCAGTGCTAGCGCATGATCTCAGAAACTGGGAGGCTACCGCAGCAGGACCACTGCACATTCAAGGCCAACCTGGGTTACACGGTGAGATCCTGCCTCAAAAAGGGGCTGGGGCATGGGGCTGAGGATGTAGCTCAATGCAAAGGCCCTGGGCTCAATTCCCATACTGCAAAAATAAAACAAAGGCGAAACAAAATTTTTTTAAAACTCACAGTAGTTATATAGTTTGTTACTATCTGATTTTAGGCCTCTGGTAGGAATTTGGGAACGACTCCCTGTGGATGACAGGACACTGTGGTACTCCAAAGAGTATCCTCAACTTCTCCAATTACAGGCATCACCTGGAGCTCCTGTGAAAGAGCTGAGACTCATGGGCCTTAGTCCAGACTGCTGAGTCAGTACTGCCAGGAAGAGGCCCAGACGTCTGTATTTTCAGTGACGCGCCCTCTTATCGCGAGGCAAATCTGAGAATCGTGAAGCAGCGAATTTAAAAAGTGACATCGGATGAGCACTTAATCTGGCACTGAATTTATTCAGTCAGGGCTGGCAAAACATCAGTGGTCAGGCGTGTGGGCCACGTGACGACCATCTTGATTTTCATGTTCTCACAATACAGGCCATCAGCTGGTTAAGCTAACAGCAAAAATACCACTGAAAGTTAGAGTTACCTGCAATATTCCAGAATGAGGCTTGTGTCCATATCTACATTCTCCACAAGAGTTTTAATGAGGTCTTTCTTGGTGAGGAAATGTTGCCTGAAAACTGGTTGAAAAGAAATCTAGGAATCAAAAGAGCAAAATGAACAAAGAGCCCTTTCTGCACTGAAATGTTTCACAGTATGAGTAATATTATGACTTGCATTTTGTACTTTTTTTTCCCTTAAGAAACATTTTTCTATAATTCTTCCAACTTCTGTTTTCATCATGCCACCCCACCAGCTGTTGTTCTGGAATTCGGCATCTCTGGCTGCAGGCCCAACACCCCCCTCGGCCGCCTTTGTGTTGGTACAGTTCAGCTGCTACCATCAGAGGAGTACAGCCCCGCCGCTGTGCAGGGCGAGCCTTCAAAGCACACAGTCACATTTCTGCAGTGATTACTTTCCTGCTAAATATACTGCTTGTAAAAATAACAAAATAAAATTTTATCTGTTCTTTCGCAAAGTCAAAAACAAGGGCCAGGCTGGGGGTGTAGCTCAGCAGCACAGCACCTGCCTGGCAAGTATGAGGCCTTGCGTTCAATTCCTGGTACAAATAAATAAATAGGTAGACATCCATTATTAAAAATCAAAAGGCCCATTTTCTTTTCCCTATTAGCTCTTAAAGCATGGTATGCCTGTATGTACTTTTAAAAAAAAAAAAATCTTTTATTTATTTATTCGGTACAGGGTTTCCCAACGCAACTTAGACTAATAGTGATCCTCCTTGGGCCAGGGAGATAGCTCGGTAGAATAAGCACTTGCCTGGCAAGTGCAAGGTCCTGAGTTCAATCTCTGGTACTACAAAAAAAACATAAAAACCGGGGCCGGGGAGATGGCTCAGTAGAATAAGCGCTTGCCTGGCAAGCCCAAGTGTCTGAGTTCAATCCCCGGTTCCGCAAAAAAAAAAAAAAAAAAACCTAAAAAACTACATAGTGATCCTCCTGTCTCAGCCTCCCCAGTGTTGGGATTACAGGTGTGCGCCACCATGCCCAGTTTTGTACTTTTTAAATTATATCTCTGAACATCTGGGCATGGTGGTGCACAACAATAATCCCAGTACTCTAGGAGGCTGAGGCAGGAGGATCCCAAGTTTAAG